CATTTGGCTGCCTTCATTTTTTTTTTTCTCCTCCATTACTACAACTGGCAGGTGTGGATTTGCTGCTTGTGCGCTTTCCTCATGTGCCCATCCACGATGTCCCCTCGGGCTGGGGGAGCGATGCGGTCCCCAGGACCAGTTGCATGGGCTGGGCACATCTCCCACCCCGACGAGCCGGTGCGGTTGTGCCTCTTGTGCCGCGCTGGCCGGCGCCTGGACTTTCCCACTGTGTGTTGTTGCTGAGGGTTTCACTTCGTTGTCCTCCGGCCGGGTTTCTGGTGAGTGGACTGCCGTGTTCATGAACTCCCTCTGGGTGTTTTTCTGTAATAAATTCTGTTGGTCCCAGCCCGGCTCTCTCTGGTGCCATTCTCACGGTGGGTATTTTGGCTCCGTGGTGCAGCGAGCAAGAGAGGCTGAGGTCCCTGCTTGGGACCTCCCAGGTTTTACGGTGAAGGGATGGGATGACCAGAAGGAAAAGGGCCTTTTGGGATTGAAGGGAATTCAGAAAATGCAAGAAAAGCAAAAGAAGCTACCTGGGAACTGGCAACTTCTGGGAGGGGTGGGATTGCAGAGCTGAGAGATGTGCTGTGATACAGCTACCTCCCTCTGCTTCGTGAACGGGCTTTTGTTGTAACGTGGACTCGTGATGGAGTCTGGGATAAAAATACCATTTGGCAGAAGACTTTTGTCAACTTGAGCTTCTCCCAGCCAACAGGTGGGAGGCAGCAAAAGCTTTTTAGAGGAGATTTATTACTGCTGAAGTACCGGGTTTATCCGAATAGCGACACTGCAGTTCTGGTGTTAGCTCCTCCCTGCTAATAAAGGAGAACAGATGGGTTAAGGGGAAGCAACAAATTCTCCATAGTCACCAAACATAGCCAAGGAATGTCCATAGGCCCCAGGGCAGCATCTCTGCTATGGGTGTTGGTTTAAGGGATGGATGGCCCTCAGCAGAGAGTGTTCTTGTGCAGCCTTGCTCGTGGGAATGCCTTCCCTGCGCCCATCCCCAATCCTGCATGTTCTACCACCAGATGCCTGGAGGAAAAAGCAAATTCCAGCACTGATAAAGCCCATGTTGCACCAGTGAAAGTCCAGGTGGGGCCACCCAGCCCTGAGAGGTCAGGATGTCTCTGCCAAAGCCAAGAGCTGCCTCTGATGTTCACCCGAAGACCGCCCCGAGCCCTGGACTCGCTCTTGGGGACCAGCGTTTGCACTGGGGCCAAGGAGCCGGCGGTGATGGAGAGACGCGGGCCAAAGCCATGCAGGGAGGGAAGGGGGAGGTTTGTGCGGTTGGGTCTGTGATGTCTTGTCGGTTTGCTGCAAGCCTGAGTTTTTGCTTCTGTTGCCTGTTTTCTGAGCTTTTTCCTTCGTCAGGCATTGAAGGGCTTTGCGATGAGTGTGCTTTAAAATAAAGAACATGGAGGAGGAGAAGGCGGAGGCAGTGCTGATGGAGAATTATGCTGCCACTCAGCTATTGTCAGCGCAGATGTTCACAAGGTAATCATGGCCTTTGAACAGCAAGAACCGCTTTTCATGACGAATCCAGGCTTTAAACCCAAGAACTTGTGGGGCTTCTTGGTGAGGGTGTGACACCCTTGATGACCATCTGCATGGCAGGGAGGTCGGGCAGAGTGTGAACGCTGCTCTCCTGTTCCTCACGTACATAGGGTAAGTCATGACACCTCCGTGCCTCGGTTTCCCCATCACCATAACAGAGATCAGAATGATCCCGAGGTAGCGTCAGGTCTGGAGGATGACTCCAGCTCCTTGCAGAAGAAAACCAGAAATCCAGGAGCGCTCTTCAGTGCAGCAAAGCCCCATATCTCTGCGGCGATGCCTGCGTGCTCAGCAGAAGATCCCAGTGTGCAGAGGCTGTGCAAATACAGGGCTGTCCCGACAGCCCCGCGGTGTTGGCCGTGAGGGGTCCCAGGCTGCGCTGGTGGGGACTCCACCTCATCCCTGCAGTGCATTTAGTTTTACGTCCTTTTTAGAGTGCAGAATAGGGGCCAACAAATGCGAGCAGGGCCCTGCAGCCACCCCAGGGGGCTAAAATGTCAGGGTAGGGGACCTGGTGACAGCGTGACAGAAACACCCGGCGCTGGAAGAATAGATAAGAGCACCTAGCGGCAAGAGAACAAGCAAAGGGCACTTGCTATCAGCGCTAGCGGGGCCGTGCCAGGATTTGAACAGCCTGACCAGCTCGTTCCTTCGACACTGCTATTTATAGCAGTGTTCGCTGACGAAGGGCCTCCTCCCCCCGCTGACGGAGAAAGCCAGCGTGTCCCTCTGCCAAGAGGCAGCTCCACGCTGGGCCAGCTCCTTGGAAGACGCAGCAGACGGTTTCTGTTTAAGGCCTGGCCCCTCGCCAGAAGGAGTCAGTGGGGTAAATAGACCCACTTTCCACCCCACTTCTTCCTTCCCCCCCAGAACTGGGGCTTTTCCAGCTCTGTCTGGGAGCCAGCAGTTTCCACAGCGTGATGTTGGTCCGTACGGTAGCTGTGGGGACAGCTCTGTGTGTTACCCACGCTGGTGGAAATAACCCTTCGGCTACTGGGCTGGGGCAAAAGGGCAAAGATCTTGTAACTGCAGAGCTAATATACCCCGTTCCCTGCCTGGAGATTCTGCTTTTTTCAAAGTGCTTTGTCTTCCCAGTTCTGCCCAGGCCAGCGAGCGATGGAGGCGGAGACCTCTCTGCGCCGGCGTTTTCCCATTCCTGCGGCAACAGCTTCGTTACCAGGGCTGCACTTCAAAGCTCTGCTGGCAGTGCTGTGCCGGGTAGGACTGTGCACGTAAGCCCACCGAGGAGGAGGGGAGGGGGTCCCTGCAGCCCTGGGGCTACAGATGCCAGGCCACTATGGCTGCACCCCGGCCCCACGCTGCTGAGAGCTTGGCACAACCGGGGTCGAATTTTCTGATTGAGTGACTTGAGAGGAGGTGGGCAGTGGGGTTTAAAATACCCCAAACAAATCAAATCCTCAGGGATAGGATCCAGCAGCCCTGCGCAGAGGATGGGACTTTTCCTTGTTCTCTCTCGGGGCAAATGGCACGGTTATCCCTTTTCTTTGCAAAAAGGGGATGCAGATCCCAGGGCTGACTCTGAATTTTTAAGCTTTCCTCAGCGGGGCTCACGTCCTGCCGGCCCGTGGTACCCACGAGCAGCCCCGCAGCTGGAACTGGCCCGTGCTCGTGCTGCGGTTGTGTCCTTGTCACCGCGGCCATCAGCAGCGAGCAGCGATTCTCCCTCGAGCTCAGGCAAACCCGTTCAGGGCCGTGCAAAGCGGCATCCGTGGGCAGCGGAGTTGATGCCGTCGCCCCCCA